CAAAAACAAAGACTATTAAGATTATTATTCAAATTAGTTTTTGTCATCAAGGGGAGGGAGAGGGGGAACCTCCGCCACCTCCGCTTGGAACACGACTTAAAGCCATTTCTAATCACCAATTTTATTTTCAACCAGGGGGCATATCCCAAGAAGTTTGTTTTGTTCATGCGTGATTATTTGCATGACGACTTGTCTCCATATATGCTTGCATATTGTTTCTTTGTTCAAGCATTTCTCCAATACTTCAAAGACAATCTGTTAATTCGCTTATAGTATTACCATCTTTATCCCTAAAATTGCCTTCTGAATCTTCTCATCCCTCTATCGGTTCTGTCGCTCCCATCAAATCTCATATCTCCTTAGTACCAAAAGTTTTTATACTATTATAGCCTAATGTATAATTCAAGTCAATTATTATGTCGTTACTCGCTACAGGAAGGCGATTAGCAAGGTCTATGGAAATATCTATATATTTGTAATCCCCATCTTTGTAAGAAACATAATCATTTACATTAAATCTGATAAAACTTGCGTTTGTTTCTCTTTGTATAACTTTAAACTGAACTATTCGTGCATCTTTTTTAGTTTTAGGTTTTATATATATTCGTCTTTTTCTTGTATTTTCATTTGATTGTTGGTTTCCCATAGCATTTATAAATATTTAATTTGTATTTTTATTTAGTTATTTTGCCCTTTTATTAAAAGCAGTTGGCTTCTGTTTGCTAATTCTTTTACTTTTAACTTCTAATTAGTGGAACCAGCCAAGAAATCTTTCCAACTTATTTGGAAGGATTACCATGATTTTAATAAATCCTTGGTAAATCCAATTAGAATTTAACTTTGCCCTGTTTTACTTCCGGTAAAGTTCATAATTAACCTTTTTGCTAGCCAAAAGAGTCTACTCTGAAAGTGTGAAGTCATTTTTTACTTTTTTTCTATCGCGAATAAAAAAAAGTGGGATGAATAAGAAGCCTCAACTTTATGCAATATTCTAAATCATCTTTAATATCTTTTTATATAGAATACTATATTGTGTTATATTAATAATTATTAACAAGTATTCTATATTAATAATTTTATTATACAAATTTTAGTAGACGGAACTTCATTTTTTTAAAAAATACCATCATAAGTTTTAGGCAAAGTTTAAATACCTAAATTGGGTTTTGCAAAGTATTAATTTTCAAAAAATAATTAAGTATGGAAAGTCTTTTTCTTCCCCACCTGAATACCCAAACTAATTCTAACCTCTCTTTCTCGTTTTTGACCATTCCCCAATTAATTGATTGAGCCATTAATAATAAACTAAATTACTTAGCGATTTCCGATTATTATCCTTATGAAATTATAGAATTTTTTCATTCCTGCAAGGCAAAAAAAATTAAACCAATTTGGGGAATAAAAATTTTTCTGCAAGAAAACCCCCAAGGAAAAAAATATTTGGCAACTGTTTATCCCCAAAACAGCAAAGGATACAAGGAGGTTCTCCAAAAATTATTTTCTCCAGATACTCCCAATGACCGAATTTTTTCTTTTGATTACATTCTTTCTAATTTAAGTAAAAATTGTTTGATTATTTTTGAAGCCCAAAAGTTAGAAGAAATAAAATACTTTGCAGTTCAATGAATTTTAACTCGTTCTCCTCAAAAGGAAGTCAATTACGGAAATCTCTTCATTGGATTTAATTTTTTTCTCCTTTCTCCTACTCAAACTATTCCGCAGAATGTCATTCCTCTGTTGCTTCCATTCTTTGCAGTAAAATGTTTAACTTCTGAAGAAACAAAATTGTTGGGTCTATGAAAAAAAACTAGTTTTAACCGTTATTTTTTTCCAATCGACACCCAAGGCGAATTCCTTTCCTATCTAAATACTGATGATTATTTTCCGCACTGCACGGATGACAAAACTTTTTATCAATTGTTGCTTATTCAATGGCAAACTTTTTTGGCTAAAATTAGCCTTAGTCCTTCTTTCCACAGTGAAAAAAAGAGCAGAACCAAGAAAGAAAATAATCCTCTTTTACTCCTAAAAAGTAAGTGTCTTCGAAAATTAATCTCCTTAAAAAAAGAACCGGTAGAAAATTATCAAAAAACTCTGGAAAGGGAATTAGCGATTATCGAGAAACTTAACTATGCGGATTATTTTTTGGTGTTTAGCGAAGTGAATAACCATTTAAGAAAAGAAAACATTATGGTAGGACCAGGACGAGGAAGTGCTGTTTCTTCTTTAGTGACCTATTTATTGGGAATAACTAGTGTTGATCCGTTAGAACATAAACTATTCTTCGAAAGATTTCTCAATGAAAAAAGAAAAAACTTGCCGGATATCGATTTGGATGTAGAGAACCAAGAAGAAGTCTTCAATTATTTGCAAAAAAAATACCCAAAAAAGCAAGTGGCTCGTATCATCACTAAAAAAAAGATTGGTTGGAAAGTTGCCTTTCGCGAGACTGCTAAATTATACAAAGTAGGAGAAATAAAATTAAAAGAAATTGTCTCTCTAACTGGCGAAAATCCTAATTTTAATGATCTGAAATTGCAGCGCTGGCAAACTAGTTATCCTAATTTATTCCAATTGACTAGTAAAATCCAGAATTTATATTATGATACTGGTATCCATCCGGCCGGAGTCATCATTAGCGAAAGTTCATTGGTTGGCTCAGTGCCCTTAAAGTTAGAAAAAGACTGCTTGTTGACACTTTTTGAAGAGGACAAATTAGCCGGATTAGGATTAAAAAAATATGACTTTTTGAGTTTGCGGGAAACACTCGGTTTTATTCGTGAAGCAAAGGAGATTCTAAAAGTTAATTTGCCTGATTATCAAGCAATAGACTTGACTGACCAAAAAACTTGAGAATTATTGAAAAACTTTCTCTTAACCGGTATTTTTCAATTAGATACTCCTTCGGCTCGACTTCTCTTTAATCGGTTTCGCCCTGAGAATTTTGCTGAATTAGTGCTTTTCCTATCTCTCAACCGGCCTGGCACCAAAAAAAAGGTGGAAGAAGTGTCTCAAAAAAAAGACTCTAAGACTAAAGTTAGTTTTACTTCCCCAGTGATTAGGGAAATATTAATTGAAACCTATGGGTTTATTATTTTTGAAGAACAAATAAGTCAAATTTTTGCCTACATTTATGAATGTTCGTTTGCCGAAGCCGAAGTAAAAAGGAGAGAATTGGCTAAAAAAGGACTAGAAAAAGACTTTTTTAATCAAGTCCAAAAAAAATTAAATTTGTCAGAAAGTAAACTAATTTATCAACAAATTAATTCTTCTGTTGGTTACACTTTCAACAAGTCTCATGCAGTAGCTTATAGTTATTTGACTTATTATATTGCTTATTTGAAAGCTAATTTTTTCTCCGAATTGATTACCTATTTCCTTAATAAAAGAAAAGAAAAAGCGTTATCTTATCTTCAAGAAGCCTTTTTTTATGGATTTCAAATCAAAAAACCGGATATTAACCATTCAGAAATAGAATGAATTAAGAAAGGTCAAGACTTATTGATGGGATTTAGCAATTTAAAGGAATACAAGGTTGAGTTTTTTCAAAATTTAATTGAGGAAAGAAAAAAAGGAGGAATTTATAAAAACTGGGAGGATTTAATTAACCGCACTATAAATTATTGAGAAAAGGTAGAAAGTAACACTTTTGAGGCGTGGGTAAAAGGTGGTGTGTTTAGAAGTTTAGGGATAGATGACAATAATTTATTAGACTACCAGAAAGCAATCTTTCGCTATTTGTCAATCCGAAAAAAACTAACTACTCTTAATAATAGTTTGCCATTTTTAGATTTAACAACCAGAATTTTGGAAGAAAATAAGGCAAAAATTAATCAAAGAGAACTTGAGAGTTTAGGATTATATGTTAGTTACTTCTCGCGTTGAAAAGAACTAACTCAAAAAAAACATGAAAAATTGTCAGAGACCAAAGAGAATAAATTTTGTTCCCTCTCGGAGATTTTTCAAAAAATCGAGGAATATGATAATCAAAAAACCTTAGTAAATGTCTATGCGGTCATTTATCAGATAGAAAAAAAAGACAAAGATAATTATACTCTTTTCCTACAAGATATTAGAAATTCTTTTAAGTTAAATATCAGTGCAGAATTTTACCTAACCAACCAAGAAAAATTAGTAATTCATAATGAATTATTATTTACTCTGAGGGTAGGAGCAAAGCAGGGAAAAATTAGTTCTTTAACTTGTGAAAAAATAAGTGATAATCTGTAAAATTTGTTATCTTTCTCTAATTTTAAATAAAGGAGATGATGGTCATATTTTCTTATAAAGGATGGCAATTCCTAATTCATAAATGGTTAGTGACTCCATCTTTAAATCAGAACCAAAACCGATATCTTTGGTGGTTGTAATTTATTTCCCATTTATAAACTTTTCGTTTGCCTTGATATTTAGTCGGTTCCAATCGTCAGCCGTTTAACTTTTCCAGTATTTCCAAAACCAATTCATTCACAATTCATTCGCGACCTGACTTTTGTTGATAATGGTCGGTAATAGTAATTGCAATTATTTTATTCTTGTTGAAAATAAGTGCTAATTCATAAGTTCACTGCCATTCATTATCTACTTTGCTGAAATACTTGTCAATCAACTTAAACGGCTTTGGCATGGAGAGAAGATTTTTTTGGTTCCAAAATTACTTTTACTTGCAGAGGGTCTAATAATTTGCTGGCATAATTTACCAACCTATCCAAAGTAAATTCCTCAATATGACAAAATAAAATATCTTCGGTTTCGGCTTTACTTATATCCATTTTTTCCGCCACCTGTTCGCGAGTTAGTTTGTTATCTTGTTTATAACCTAAAACTTCTTGACAAATTTCAAACTTGGCTACTTGTAAAGGGGTGGGGCTTTCCGGTAAAGCATAATTTATTTCACTATTATTTTTTGGGTCTTCAATTTCTTGCAAGTATTCTTTGAATGATTTTTCTTTTTGGCTTTTAGTCATAATATAATATATTAGTTTTATTAGATTGTTATGAGCATATATTAAATTAGAAATTAGTCCTTATTATGAAAAACACAATAGGAGTTTTTAAAAGTGTTAGAGAGAAAAAAGAAATTTTA